GGAATGGGATTTAATGGGCGTATGGGTAGAGTACTCTTTGGACTAGATGGAGTTTCTGATCGCCAGCTTTTGCACACGTTGAGTATGATAATAATTCGTTGTTCTCATGCCTAAATTTCCACATTTCAAGAGAGAGGAACGAAAGCATGTGCAATTTAAGGTCAAATACATTTGATAGGCTATACCAGTGATGACTTTATGAGATGTGATGTGCTTGCATGTGGGATTGTCTACATTTCCTTAAGTGGAGTAAGACCCATAAATGGCTCTGAAATTTCTTTAAGCTGTACCAGAACTGTCCAGTCCATCCTTTATGCTTTGGTGAGTTCTGCAGCTGAAGTAGACTTGCATTATGCTCTTCAATCATCATACAGGTCAATGGAGGAGTCAGTGCCAATGTCAATAATCAGCAGTATTTCAAACTTTCGTAAACTGTCTACCAGTAGTGTTGTAGAAACCGAGCTAATTAAGAGATACTGCCGGAAGATCGATGAAATCTTGGGTCTTCTGAAGCTGGTCCTCGATGAAGTTCTCCTCCCCCAGATTACTCTAGATGATAGAAAAATTCTGCTGCTTGAGGAACTGGATGCTACCATCAATGATGCGATAAAGCTAGTTGGAAGCTGGGATTTGATGATGAGCAAAATTTATTTTGTAATTCCCTTATCCCTTCCATTTACTACTGTCATTCACATAAGACACAACTTATAGCTTATACAACGCTTTCGTTATTTAATATTTGCAAATTATTATATGAAGGTTATGCAGGTGGAGTCCCTTATTGCCAAGATGCAAAACTATGTCCTTGAAGTGTGCCAAGTTGTCAATTCTGAAGTGACACCACCAGAAATCAATTGTGTTTCAGTGTACTTGGAGGTAGTGAAAAAGCTTTATTGTCATATCAGTAGTACTCCTTTCAGATGATCTCATATTCTAATCACTTCTGTTCTTGCAAATTTCAGAAAATAAAGCAATTTCAATGTGAGAAAATTATGGGTATAATCAACGAGGCTTCCAGGGATCTTGTCGGAAAATATATGCCAAAGTCAGAGACATTGACAAATATCCAAGTTTCTTTGAGCTTATCCACAAATCAAGAGTTGCTGATGGAGTCTGTTGCCCTTGCCAAGATTAGAACAAGAGTCAATGCTGAGGATAGTTCAGAACTAGATGGTATCAACCATATCTCTGAATTAGTCAACCATATGCTTGAGAAACATGTGGAAGGAAAACCGATGCATAGTATTAATGGAGTGCCCATACCCGCTGATTTTTGCTGCCCCCTTTCCCTTGAACTAATGTCAGATCCAGTGATTGTGGCTTCTGGTCAAACATATGAACGGGTTTTCATCAGGAAATGGCTTGACTTGGGTTACAATGTCTGCCCCAAGACACGTCAAACTTTGGGACACAGTAATTTGATTCCTAACTACACTGTCAAACAGTTGATTGAAAATTGGTCTGAGATACATGGTGTAGTGCTACCAGACCCTGTGAAACTCTTGAGTTTGAGCTTTTCAATTTCCCTCAAGCCGATTAATGGTAGAACAAGTGATAAATCTCCTTCCTCTGAAAACTCCCCAAGGACAAATAAGTTTGGCTCACCAGATCATATGATATCATCAGATGACAGTTGTCATCCTAACTTGCTGCATGAGAATTCTGATTCAGATGATCAAATCTCCAAGGCTTCATCTTCTGAAGACACAGATGATTCTGAAACTGATTCTTCGAAGTTACTAATTGCAGCTACTGAAGCAAACACATTAATATGCAATGCGACTATTGATGGTTCTGAAGCCCTTAAGCAATTGAGAAAGGATGGTTTCCATGCTTCTGATGTTGAACAGCATCTCCAAAGTAATGGTATCAGTAGTGATATTGGCACAGGTGCTTCTTCCAGCAGCAACCATCTTGAAGTCGTTGAGAAGAATAAGGAGCAACTGGTCTCAAGTAACAGCATTGCATCAGAAAATACAAGAAATGGTCCAATGGCCACCTGCTCAAAACCAAATTGGCTGCCAAGGTTGGGTGGTGTTCGTTCTCGAAATCGATTAGTCTGGCAGCAACAATCAGATGAAGCTGTTCCAATGGAGTCAAGATCTGATTTTGCTAGTGCCGATAATGAAGTTCGTAAACTTATTGAGGACCTGAAAAATGAGTGTACTGATGTCCAAAGGGCAGCAATAGGAGAGCTCCTGGTTCTTTCAAGGCACAGCATGGAGAGTAGAATTGCCATTGCAAACTGCGGTGCTATACCCTTCTTGGTGAATCTTCTTTATTCTGCAGATCCCAGCATGCAGGAAAATGCTGTAACAGTACTCCTGAATTTGTCGTTAGATGACAACAACAAGATCGCCATCGCAAGTGCGGATGCCATCAAGCCTCTCATCCACGTTCTTGAGACGGGTAACCCTGAGGCAAGAGCAAACTCAGCTGCAACTCTCTTCAGTCTTTCAGTAAATGAAGATAACAAGGCCAAAATCGGACGCTCTGGAGCGATCATACCCCTGGTCGACCTGCTGCAAGATGGCAGTGCGCAGGGGAAGAAGGATGCAGCAACAGCTCTCTTCAACCTATCGATATTTCACGAGAACAAAGCCCGGATTATTGAGGCCGGGGCTGTAAAGCACCTGGTGGAGCTGATGGACCCAGCAGCTGGGATGGTTGAAAAGGCCGTCTCCGTTTTGGCAATCCTTGCCACAGTGCAGGAGGGAAGGAATGATATTGCTCAGGCAGGTGGCATCCCGGTGTTGGTTGAGGTTGTTGAGCTGGGCTCCGCACGGGCGAAGGAGAACGCTGCTGCTGCTTTGCTGCAGCTCTGCACGAACAACAGCAGGTTCTGCAGCCTGGTGCTCCAGGAAGGCGCCATGCCTCCTTTGGTGGCATTGTCGCAATCAGGCACGGCCCGTGCAAGAGAGAAGGTACAGTTGCACTTGCACATATTGGCATAAGCATAAGCTGACACTTTCGGTTCTGTACTTCATGTTTGAGAAGTGAAAACTTGCAAGACAAACATATATGTTATTACGCGTCGGCTTACTATTTTAGTTTTGTATGTGCAGGCACAGGTCCTTCTGAGTTATTTTCGCAACCAGCGTCAAGTTGGCAAGGTCATTAGGCGCTAAATTCAGACATTGTTGCGGGCGTAACTTAACCTCTGATGTAACTACGATTGCTTTTCCTTGCATTCTTGCACGACCATGCTGGTTGAGCAAGTGGTGTACATCCCGTAGTGACCGTAGGCTAGTAGTGATATTCTTGGGTAGCGAGTGGTTGAAGAGTAAGACGTCTCCGTTGTACATTTCGTGCTATTTTTCAACCGTAATAATTTTTTCTTCTTTGACCATTGTTGGAGGGGACGTGACTATTGTTTACCCCATGGCTTGCAAATTTTTATACCATTCCCTGAAATGACATCTCATCGTGTTTAGTATTTGTCAGTATTATTTAGTATTTAGCATTTCTCTAGTACTTTTCTTCACTATCTACTCTCATCGGCTTTAGTAGTATAGAGTGTTGAGCATTCGTGGATAGTGAACGATGCTGACATATTTCTAGCTGTTGTTAGTACCTGTCACTATTTTCCACTTACTTGAGCCAGTAGGTGTCATTGTTTATCTCATGGCCCCGTTCGCTGGTCTGAAACTTGGCTGAAAAATACTGTTTCAGCCGGTTTGTTGTGAGAGGAAAACACTGTTCGGCTGGTTTGATGAACAGTAACACGTGAGGAACACCAGACTGCTGGCTGGACATGTTCAGACCAGCGAACACCACCTTATAGTGTTTCGGTATTTATTTGATTTCCTTCAAAACTTTGTTCCCAGCTTCTGACAAATCATAGCAGTTGTGTTAGTATTTTTGTGAACAATTTCTATAACTTGGATTCAGTACTCCTACTCAGCAAATTTGTCGGCTTCCAAGTTATTGTAAATCTTGTTGGCTTCCAAGTAATTTTAGAACTCTCATCTTGCATCAGTATTTGCAATTTGTAGAAGCTTTCAAGTAGTTTGGCTTCTATAAATCTCAACAAGGATTTCAGTACTACTGAGATTTCTGTTTGCCGAGTACTGAGAGCAGCAGCGGGAGGCAAAGAGGTCCGCATTTATCCAACTACATTAGTTTTGTTCCCTGCACATCGGCACACCTGATTCTGACTGCCTGCACTGCACCACTGCTCTTTTGCTTGATTGCGGAAGCTACTCCATACAAAACTGATGGGAGCTAATCCATCCATGGAAGCCACGGAAAGGTGCATGTTCGACTCCTAGGACGGTGCTCCGGCCTCATGTCCGGCGGCCGGCTTCGTAGGAGGGGTCACGACGCACAGGGCACGGCGAGAGGCGCTGTGGCGGTAGTCTTCTGGGCGGTCGGCGTCTTTCAATCCGCAGGCCGTCGGCAGCTTCGCGCGGGGTTGTCGACCAGTCAGTGTCAGTGAGCATCGGCCTTGGGGTGAGGCCGCGAGGGCAAGGCGTCTTCGAAATGACTCACAAAAAGCCCCTTTCGCATTAGCACACTAGGAGAGTAGGAGGTAGTAACACAGTACAAGCCCGTTTGAAAATGTTCCTATTTTAACCATAAAAATGCTCATGTTGTTGATCCATTTCGACGTCCAATCCAGACTGAACACTGAACATTCATGCATCCAAAAATGGCACAATGCTCGAGCCTACCAAAGGTGTTCCATGTTCATGAGGTCCAGACCGGGAAGGAAACGAGATCCAAAAAGCATCGACGACGAGAGCAGGCTACAGATGCAACAAGAAGGCATCTCTAAGCAAGATAGCCTGCTCAGAAGTCTGCCCCGTCTTCCACACTCGGAAGCCCTCGTTGTTGAAGAAGCCCAGCCGTTTCCAATGTAACATGTGCAACAGCGTGAATGGCCCTTGGGTTTCTCCTTGAGGGTCTATATAGTGCCACTGCCACAGGAGCGCCGAAGGTGACACGCCCGTTCGTGGCTGCATGTTCTGGCCCGTGCTGCTCTGGGCGCAGAACTCCATTCATGGCTGCATGAGCTGGCTGTCGCTGCTCCGGCTGAAGAACCCCCCATTCATGGTTGCAGGTGCTGGCTCGCGCTGCTCCAGGTGAACATCCCCATTCATGGCCCTTGGAGTATGCATCGCCTTGCCTTCTGGCTTATGTTGCCCTGTGCGAGGGTCCTCATCGTCATCACTGCTTAGATCGATGACTTCTACAACTTCATTAATCTTTGCCATGGCAGCTTGCCGGGAGTGGTCACTTTCATCTTGGTCAATGTTCATGGCTTGAGTTGGGCTACCATCTGCATTAACTTTACAAATAAAGTTAAATGTGATTGCAGAAAAAGAGGAGACTGTTAGAAAGTTAACGACAGGATTGAGAATAGCATGTCACTGTGCAATGTCTTAACAGCAAAGAGCAAATGCACAGCTATTTCTGCAGCAGGATACGATAAACACCAATACAATCAGAATAGCAATCCATGTGTTTGAATGGGGAAAATGCAACAAATGCCCAGTCATTTAGATTCTACTTGACACTAAACCAATATGACCAAACTTGGAATTATTAAGAAATGGGAGCCAACCATGCAAATATTAGAAACCTCTAGAAGATCTTGCAAGGATACATCACATTAGCAAAGGTGTTGAGTAGCAAACCTTGAGCATCGTCCATTTGATAATGTAGTGCAGGATCAGGAGTAACACCACTGAGGCAGGCTTCATGAGCTACATGGATAAAATGAATACATAAGATCCAAAACCAGCAGCATTAATTGCACAGGATCAACATATCAGAAGAAATGGATTTATGATCAAGCAGTTCATAACTGACATGATCGTTGGTCATAAGAAAAGACAATATATTCAATTTTCTATCAACATTATACCCGCATGCAAACAAATGAATTATATGCGTGAAGGTATTACCTTATCCCTGCTATTGAATGTAAGTATGTAACAGTTGGTGGTCAGTGGTCTATCAGGGTTTCTTGGCATCACCATGCTAGACTATTAGTATCTAGCGCAACCCACACGACTAAGTGATCCTATGGTTTTGGTGTTCAATTGGTTTCAGAATTCCAGTTACTCAATATAACTAACGACCCTAAAACATTTAAGCATTCCATCATTTATTATCCTTATTAGTTTCAATCAAGTTCTAATTAAAATTTATATGCACATAAAATATATCTCAGACTGGTTCCATTGTTTTTGGGAACATCAAAAGTTGAATGAACATACAAATCAAATTGTTTGTCTGATAAGTGTTAGCACTAGATAAGAATCACAGTACAGAACCTTCAGAAGGAGCTTCACGAGTAGCATCAACTTGCTTAGATGCAGCTGATGGCAGACGAAATCACCAAAATAGCCCATAGATAGCGATTAATTACATAAGGGAAGTTATAAGGTAAACAAAGGAAAACAGGTAGCGTAATTTTCAAAACACCATATTTGAAACAAACCTTCTGATGATTCTTTGTTAAGAACGTTCAAGCAATCATGTATTTCCTCTGTAGCACCTGGAACAAGCAAGTAAGTAGGCTTTAGTATTAGATGGAGAGCAAGAAAGATAAGCAGGTCTTTGCCTCCAATGGCATTATAATGGCATTCAAAACCACTAATTTATTTCTAAGTTTGGATATAGTAATTAGTTGATAGCATGTTTTGTGGAGCTTCAACAGTATAACATCTTACTACAATTAGTCATGATTTCCCCAACTAAGTAGATTCAACAGCACAGCGTAGCAACCACAGCCTAGCCCTTAGCAAGTAGAAAGAGATCAACCAAACTTGACATTAGTTCCATTTAGCAGTAAAAGTTCAGAATAGAAATTACTTAAAAGGAAAAGGTGGATAACAGAGAATTGTAACGGAACCTAGGGTCCTCCCAAAATATAAATTCAAAAATAAAAAAGATCTAAGGCAGACAAATGTAGATTTTAATCATACCTTTTGATGGTTCCCCATTGAGAACATTCAAAGAATCGACTGTTTGATGAGTGGCACCTGAAAACAAGCAAGACAAGCAGGTCTTAGTGTAAGAGAGTGACAAGGAAAACTACCATTAGTTTCACTTTTGTCTATACTCAGTTTAAAATAACTTGTAGGAAAGGGAAAAAGGCTAGAGATGCAGAATGCGAAATTGCTTATTTTTCCTCAAATGTGCAGGATCATTGTCTTAAAAGAAGAGAATGGGAAATCCTTAAATACAATCGAACTTTAAGTGCAAAGCATGGCCAAAGCAAATACTTTAATCACACTGATACCAGAGCACACTATGAAGGATAACTACGAAGGAAAACTAAAAAGTTTGGATGAGCCCCCTACTCCGTGGCATGTTGCAGGATTATGAGCCTGTTTGGTGCTTATAAGCTGCTTATGGCTAATCAATATAAATATTTTTTATTAGTCGTAGGTATTAAACAGTAACATCTAATGCTTGTATCTCCTAAGATTCTAGCCTGTGCGGGAGCATAGGTTGCCATGGAGTAGTAAGTATAAAATCTAAATAAATCGAACTCACAGCACGCTAAACTGAAGTTTCCATAACTAAATATCACTTTTAATATTTCAAAACAGATATCACATGGCTTGCTGTATCATCTCCAAATCAACTTGTCTGAATACTTGCATTCTAAATATAGCTAATGAACAACTGCAATCCTGTAGGAACAGAATTCCATGTAGTAAGGGCAAATATATATGCCTACTTCAATTGTAATGGAAATTATGGTGTTACTTCACAACAAAATGATGCACTGACAAAATAATTAGCTCAATTTTGTATAAATTAACTGTGCTTACTTTTCCACAGCGCCATTTGGATTGAGCATGTAACAACTTAGGTATTCAGTTTTCCACAGCGCCATTATGAATGTGAAACAAATGCAAAGGAAGGAAAAAGTGCTATAAGAGACTAAAATTTCAAGTGTTGGCACCTCTACTCTCTTGAGATGAGTTGCTTGCTGCAACTTGGAGTTCAGTTTCCTTTTCTCTGTATTCTGTATCCAGAATAATTTCTGGAACCTCTTCAAGACGACGCTGTCTTTCAGCTGGTGTGTTTAAAAGTTTTTTTGGTCCAGTAGTTCCACCAATGTAAGCAACGGCAGAGCGTGTCATCAAACAAAGGAGGGGCTAATTCATCTTGCCTCTAACTTCTAGCTACTACAGACTGCCTGTGTTCTTAGTTAAATATTTTTCTTCTCTCTATCGCATGAAACAATGTGTAACACCCCAAAAGTTGTCACTTTTGAAAATAGAGTTAAAATGATTTATTTTTGAATTTTTGAGCACATGAAAACATAGGAAAATAAAATTTTCATTAATTTAAAATTTATCATAAGGTAGAAACGTGTTTGTTGCATTCATGCCGGTCGCACCTCGTGTTTCTATGTGCAAAATGTGTGTTTTTTTATACGTTTAGGAGACGAATATCTATCTCTAGGAATTTTTCAGTTGTTTTCTGAAATTTAATTCCTACCTCCTTCACCTTAATCTTTATGTTCCAAGTTCCCAACAATCTTTTTATGAGCTCCAAATACTTTATTTGGGTTCATCATGTTCCAAAGTGTCTCCGAGAATTTTCTCCAAATTTTTAGAGGTCTTGGAGTATTTTTCGTGGCTTAAATATTAATTATGGACTTTTCTAGAATTATTTTATCCATGAAATTAATTAATTCCAAAAATAATAAGTCTCTCATTTTTTCCAATGCTCAAAGTCCATGTGCAATAATCCTAGTTAATCTTAAAGGCCCATGCATTTATTTACTAATGGTCTTTAATGTTTATTTAGGCCCATTAGTGCAGACGGATGGTGCAACGTCAATTATTAACATATCGTTAGTTGATGGGAATGTGGGGAGTTTTTCTCCATATATATATTTACCAACATCTTGGGCAAAGCACACCAAAACTACCGTATGAGGAGTCCCTAGTTTGGAAAATCCCTCGTATAGTAAATTATATTTTTCCTCCTTCCTCGCCTCGTCGTCGTCGCCGCCGCCGTTGCCGCCGCGCTGCCCGTTCGTAGTTGTTCGTTGGTAAGCATCCCCACGTTTTCCTTCCTCTTTGTTAATTACACCATGCCCGTTGATTACCTCTGCTGCATGCTGCCTTTCCATGTGTGATATACGTCTACATGCCAACCATGATCTATACCGCATAATACACAAGCAATCACGCCACCATCTCTGCCTTGCTGCCGGCCATGCATGCATGTTCATCACGTCTAGGCCATTCTTTGGTTCATCTCAATCTCTTGTGGCATATAGCACTGATCCCACCTCCGCCGTTGCAGCTCCTGTGCCAAGCCGAAGTAGCGGAGCCGTCGGCCGTGCGTTGCCTGGCACCATGGGGACGACCCAGCCGGGCGAGTGCGGGCTCTTCCTCCGGTCGGCCAGCAGGCCAAGCTCCTGGCCATGGCCCTTTTCCTCCCATGCGAGTTCCCTGTGCAGCAGCCATGACCATGGAGGCCACGATCTGCACGTGATAATGTAGAAGACGAGGTAATTACAAAACTGCCATGAGTTCGTAATTCTTCCATCATTTATTCGTTTTAATTCCGTTTTGCTTCATTCAAATTTCGTTAGGTTCGTGTCAATGTGATCTACATGTTAGTGCTAACGTTTTTCGTGTTACTGGCTTATGTAGTTATAAATAAAAATTAAATTAGTTAATATGCTTATAACTAGTTTTATAATTAAAATCAATATAGGTTTTTACTTTGGTGTTTTGTATACTAATATTAATAATTGCTAACCTAGATATACTTTTAAATTAAAATTTTGTTTAGTTTAAACATGTTGCCTACAGGCTAAACTCGTTTAGATGCTCTCACATGTTTATTTTCTTTTGAAAAGACAAAGTTTAACCTGATTATAGTAAGGAATGTGATAGTTTTTATAAGTTATGATATGATTAGCTTCAACTCGGGGTTTTAAAATTAAATTATGGTTTGTCTAGTCTGAACTAATAACTTTTTCATGGCTTTGTCAACTAAAATAAATCAAGCTTATAGTCTTCTCTTTTCTTTTATAATATAAGACTTTGTAGTCGTTTCTTTACAACCGTGGTTCCGATTAGCGTGCTTTTCGCGTATGTGTGTTCGTAGCGAGACGTAGATTCGTTTTACAAACTTTTTATCTTGATTTTAGGTTTGATGTATTGTTCTGATTTAGATCTATTGTTTGCTTCATGTATGGATGCTTGCGTGGTGCTTTATGATTTTGTATGAGATGCGTGGTGATCAAGAGAAAGAAGCGTTGAAGATTATGATTTCGTTTTTGCTCGTAAACGATCGAGATTCAACCGGGAACGTGTGTTTTCTCTCACACCAATGTTTTTCTCTGATCAAGAAGAGATAAATAATCCACGAAGAACGTTGAAGATTAAAGCTTACCGAAGGATCGGTGTTTTAAGGCAAGTATAGCATGGGATCTTCCTTGTTGTCCTATATACCTTTAATCATATAATTCATACTGCATGTGTCTACCTTAACTGCCACTAAGGATATCCTAGTCTTTTGTACTTATACCTTGTTACTTTTGGGTTATTGCATTGGGTAGAATGATGCTAGTGCTCAACTACAACCATGATCTTGTAACTTGACTAATGGAATATGCAATAAACATTAAAAGATTTTTAGTAACATGGAACAAGAGGGCTAGAGTATTGGGTTGTTTTTATGGTGCTCTAGATTCCTCTCCCTAAGGACTTGTCTGTAAGTGATTTATCCGGGACTTACAGTACAGCTGTGAGGGCTATATGGCTCTGGCTTTAGCTCAGTATGAGGACCTTTTCTAGCTTGTTAGTGGTTACCTTTATTGGCGTAAGAATGGCTTGGCGAATCGGGTATAGGACAGCCTCTACTCTTATGTGTATAGTCGTGATGGAACTGTGCCATTCGACAAGGGGTTCCTATATCTATTTGTCGAGTGAATCTAATGGCCTTAACTTGTTAGACGAACCTTTGAAAGGCTTCATAGTGAACCCTGCCGATCTTCCTTGGTAGTGGGTCAAGAGGTTGGCCGCCTCGGACGAAAGGGTAAATCACGACTCACAGTAAAAGTGTACAACCTCTGCAGAGTGTAAAACTAGTATATCAACCGTGCTCACGGTCACGAGCGGCCTTGGAACATTTACGGAACAGATGATGAACACTAATGATATGATGATGAACACTAATGATATGGATGATTAAGATGCTCACTAATGGTTAATTATTTATGATATTCATTATTCATGTTTAACTGATCATGTGTTTACGTGGGCTTGTGAATAAATTTGATGCCACCCAATTGCTAAAAGATGTCTCATTAAAAGCTAATCGCAGTTGAACCAGTGTCAACCTTTTGAGCCTCATGAACACCATGTTATATTTATTAAGTACGACATGTACTTACGCTTGCTTTACTTTTCAATTATTTGGACAAAAATCCCGGATGGATACCAGATTGCTAGTTTGGAGGAATTAGACTTGTGATCAACCAGTCAGTTGTCCCTGTGGTATTGGAGTCTTCGCTTGAAGATTGGAGTTGTCTTTCCGCTGTCTATTGTCTATACTATGAGGTTATATTCTTTACACTAATACATTATGTATTTAAGCATTATCTATTGATATTACCCTTATTTGTAGCTATATGTGAGATTTGACTTTCTAGGCTCACATATGGTGTGTATCTGGTTTTGTTTTTAAAACCGGATGCTACACAATGAATGCATTCACAGGAATAACAGTGGAGCATAGTCAACCAAGGGGGGCCGATGCCCAGCTTGGCCTCCACGAGGCTCCGCCACTGAATGTAAGAAAAGAATGCGTCAAGGAAGAAACCTTAAGGGAAGTTTCTTCAATGGTCCTCTAAAGTACTAACAGTGAAATATGAAAGCAAGATGATATTAACAAAATGAAACACTATACTATTCTACATGATGATCACAGTCAGTCTAAAAAGGATATTCTACGTGTAACCCTTTCATCTGTGCAATGTTGATCTTTCTTTCTAGTCTCACAAGTTCTCTTTCAATCCACTGGAAAATGCCAATTTCATCAATAAGATTAGATGCACATATAACAAACACATGGAAAGAAAGGATATATCACTACAATAGTAGGACCAATGAAGAGCTGAATCTAGCATGAGAATTTAAAATTTTGCTTTCAGATATCAAATGTTGTCTAATAGATGCAAAAGATTAGTATGTGATGCAGGTAATATTGCCATTCAGACCTACAGCACTTCCAAAAACAAATAGCCGTATCAATTAGGGTATGGTGGACAAATAATTCAAGTTTCTAAGCAAAAGAGGAGAACAGCAATAAAATATTTGTGTACAAGTTTCAAAGCAAAGAAATGCTGATATTGATACTATGTCGTGTCCATGAAAAGCACTATGTCCTCAGTATGAGTTACAAAGTACTCCTTTTCAGTTGATTCAGACAACCAGTTACTTGTTAAACTTCTAATTTATATCTATCTGCATACATTTTCCTTCCAACATACACAAGCATGAAGTAGCAAAATAACCATTCACTGAACTGCCAAGTGCACTTACATGATTAACTATGTCTTTATGTACTGTTGCCACCTTTTCCTCCAACTCAGCCTGCCAAAAAGAGCAAACTCAGAAAACTAACAAAGGAGCTTAGCATATGCATTAGAAGCTCAAGTGCAACAGGAGACATGCTATCTTTAAGTATTTTCAGCTGACAGATATTAATAGGTGCAAACTTAGGTAAACAGGCTGGCTTAAAAAAAAACTTGACCTGCGGGGGGTAAGACAGCCCCCCGGCATTGCATTAAGAACAAGACCTTCTCACGCAAGTCAATAAAACCTCTGAACCCCTGCCTCCAGCTGACAGGTTCAAACTTAGGTGTAAACAGGTTGGCCTTAAAAAAAAACTCGACCAGCGGGGGGTAAGACTACCCCCAGGCGTTGGATTAAGAAGAAGACGTTCTCACGTAGGTCAAGAAAACCTATGAACCCATGAAGGTTGACCTCTGAACCCCTGCCCCACCCATACACAGCGGCACCGTAGCCCATGTGAGAACGACCACGACCGGGGCCGGACCTTAGACCTGTGCTTTGGTGTGGGACAGACGAGGGGACTTTTTTAACCCTAGCCTGAAAATTCGCTCCCACGGGACTTTTTTAACCTATGAACCCATGTAGCCCACATTACACTTTACAAGACCGCCAGTGTCCAAAGATTTTTATTTTTTTTTAAAGCTGAAGGGAGTAGTGGAAAACCGGAAACAAATTGATCCTCGACTATCAACAAGTACAGAGTATGAACCGTCCATGACATGACCTGGCACAAACAAAGTAACACTTCACAATACCCAAAACATTTCCCATCATTCTAACTAGCTAGCATATAACATATAGAAAATATTACTGTGGTCCTTCATCTCTATGGACTAGTAAATTTCCTTTCTATTAACAAAACAATCTGGTTTGTTTGCCCTCATAACTCCTCAGTATTTGCTAGTGTTCTAAACATCCAATGGGAAGAGCAACCAAGGAAAATTTCCTAGATCATTTTTTAACGAACTGGCAGGAGCTCTGCATTTCAATTAAGCAGAATAGAGAGTTTATGTACAAGACTGTGGCTTAACCGCCGGCCATAGAGATTTCCCCTCACAAACCACACTCCCAGGGAACATCCCAAAAATAAAGGTCTCCCTGGACAAGGCCAGTCTACCCCTGCAAATCAAGCGCCTGTATTGTACTAAGCGTTCTTTAGAGCATAAGAATCATAGATCCCCTAATGAATTTGTATATGAATTATCTTACTTTAGCACTGGAATATGCTAGAAGAATCTGCGATTTGTTTGACATGAGATACAGCAACAGATTTGCGTTAGTAATTAGCCATGTGAATATGTTAGAATGAGAACCATAATATTGATTCACAATAAATGTACACACACATACAACACATGCAGTGCAGATACAAAATATTCTCATCACTAGAGCAATGGACGTCAAAGGTGAAAGAAAGAAATCATTATTCAACAGCATGATAAGTCTACTCTAACCAGTGCCACATATTCAAATGGTTAGGCACTGCCACTGCATTAAAAAGAAGAAAAATTCAGAATATGATCTTACAACAGTGGTCCGCTTCAGTAGTCCTTTCTCAGCCAAAGAAATAAGATCATCACACTCATCCTGTTACCAAGGGAAAAGACATAATTATTCCACCACATCTTTTATTCAGGCAAAAAAGGCTAAATATTGAATTAGTGAACCAATGTTGCACAAACTACTTAGTAATGACAAGTTACTTTAGAACAAATGTAGCAGTAAATTTAATTTTCCATCAGCAACAACAAACATAATAGCATTAAAATGCTACTGGATTAAAAAAAAATAGTACCTCTGCTAAGTCCTCATCTGAGAGCATTGATATACTGACATCATCCAACAAACCAGTAACACATAAGAGAATATTTGTACATGTATCATTTATCTTGTATTCATTTTCAGACTTCTTGATGCCTGTTAACAGATTTATCCAACAGCACGTGAGAAAGTTGTTTCCTTTCTTCACAAATGAACTAGACCATCAAACCTAAGAAAGAATGATTGCAAGTGATCCATACCTGTTACTTGTCCAAGCAGGTATCCTTTTCTAGGTATTTCATAGCTGTGCACCTTTTTGCCGCACTTGACTCTAACAAAACAGCCAACAACTTTCTGTTCAAATGTGTCTGGCTGACTCATCAAAAGACTAATAACTAAAGTTTTTCTCAGGTAGATTAGGTTGATATTATTCTGAGTAAGGGAGGCAAAATGTCTCTTGCTTCTTTCTGAGACCCTCTTAGCAATCTTTGGCTCCAGACTATTCCAAGGTCTCTTTTTAATAACTGGGGCGTCATCATCATCTTTAGAACTACAAAATATTTCATCTTCTGAAACTGCATTTGAAGCTAGATGAACTGCCAAGAACCTACAGATCATTTTGCATCTCACTTTTCTTCTCGTAAACAGGGGTTGCAGCTTATCATCACACAAGAAACGAAGTTTCTTATCGTCCTGGTATAGTTTCTTCTCTTTGATGTACCCCTTGACAACTCCAATAATTTCAAGTTCTTCAAGAGGTTTTGACGTATCCTTTCCAAAACTTGACAAGAATCCAATTAGCTCTCTGGAACCCCACCCAACATAGGTTCTCTTATTTGACTTGTTCTTCTGTGATGTGTTCGCTTTAATCTGTTTGCCCTTAGAGTCAAAAGGAATTGTTTGATCATTGGCGCCATTATCAGGAGATGTATTTTCATCTGACTTGTGATCAACAGCTGGAAATCTCTCTAAATTCGCTCCTTCTTTACAGTTAAGCTTTCTATTCAGAATATCACTAGCTTCTTCCAGGTCAACCAATGTCAAATGTTCTGCATCTTTAATTCCTTCCCAGTAGTCTTTAAACAAAATTTCGTAGTTATCTGTTTTTGCCTGGAGATGCACATGAACAGTTGTCAGAAAAGACAGAAGAAGAAAAAAAAACATGTTGCAGAGGTCAAATTGTATTTTTTTTATATAATCTAAACTAGTTTGGAATTCTTTCCACAAAGATATCCAACAAAGTTATGGAGGGGAAAAAATAAAAGTAAACTTTATAGCAAGCAACAAACTCTTTTCGAGAACTGACTAGTAAAGACCCAATATTGTACTTGAGGAGTCTGGGTTGTTTTATCCACTTAGACTATGGCATTCTTGTTCTAGGAGTGTTGTGGGTGTGTGATCAGTGGTGGAGCGTGAGCTAAAATCAAGAGGGGGCCAATTCCATATGCTCATGCTACACCTAGCTAACTGTTACTACCTTCCAGGTTGTGCTTTGTCCATGAGCAAGATAAGCCAGCAAGTAAGATGAAAAATGAAATGACGTGCTTGTGCATGTAAAGCTCATTTGATGACATTGTGTATGAGCTCCTACATCATTCAGTACAATGCCCGTTGATGCTTTAAGAATAGAGAAATGCTTGAGAGCCGTAATGAGCAGCAAATGCAGGAGAGCAGTGGGTGTCAGACATACATTGTCTTACTTAGCAATTATTGTACGCAACAGCAGGCAACTGCCATGGGAAGCTAAAAAATATACAATCCCTAAAACACTGACATCTGGCTCATCAGAAAACTCCCTTAGACAAAGGGGGGCTGCAGCCCCCTATGGCCCATGTGTGTGATGGTTGGGTTTGGATGCACGTGTGAGTCTGGCTGTGTGGATTATACATGGATTTTTTTTTCTCCTTCTTTAATGAAATGGCATGCAGCCTCCAGTGCATTTCAGAACAGTATCATGATTCAGAAAAATAGTTGGTACATGCATGCAGTTACCTCATGAGGATCATTCTTCTCAATCGCGATAGCCAGGTTCAAGCAGGTTCTGCAGAATCCCTTATTTTGCTTTCTCAGTTGCACAAATTCTACTTTTCCAAGGCAGGCACAGCAAACCGAGTAAAGTGGACAGCACAGGCACTGATAATCAGAACGTCCTCTGCACTGGACACATGTGCCAATTGTACAAAGTCAAAATTAGGCCCACGAATGAATTACAATAGATTTCAAGAGTATAGAAGCTAAAACGTCTTCCATAAAAGAGGTTAAAACAGACATTCCACAATTCATGATCATATATGTCAGGCGCAAAATGCTTATTATGTGCAACTATTTAAGTCCCAACTTGTTTGGGACTTAAAGGCTTTGTTGTTGTTGTTGTTGTTGTATGTGCAACTATTTAAGTCCTGGTTAGCTTGATGTGTTGTCAGACAAAAGAAGTTGGGTAGTTAATGTTAACAAGTTTTTATTGCAGGCACTGAAATGCTAGTTGTATTTCTGTTCCATGTTGCATAATGCTGGAACAGGTAGCTCCGTAAAATAGTAAACAGTTGAAAGTAAATGTCCAGCAGCATAACTTTGAAAAAAAAAAAGATGTCCAGAAAAGAACAAGGATAATTTCATAAGGTGGTTTGTACTTCAGGATATGTGGCCATAACCAAGGTACAAACAAGTGAACGTGAGTGACAACCAATTTTTGTCCTTTCTAAAGCTATGGTTATCAATATATTCCAAAACATACATATTAGAAACATGAAAAGCATATGTGTGGTGTTTTTTTTGGCAAAACACTTCCACGGTACAAATTTTATGGATTCTACAAATTTACTGCAATATAAAATACTCGTGAAAAGTACATCTTCTTAAGACTATGATGTTATCCAAGTACAAGTATTTGTGACTGAAGGGGGTACTATTTTTAATTGCAACAGATCATACCAGCCTTCAAGACATGAACATCTGCAGAACTATTGAAGGACATTGTCCTTTCGTAGCAGTCATTGATGATGATGCATTGTCAAAACACTAGAAATGTTAGTGTATACTGCTGCCAACAAATTAATTAACCAGAAACACTTTTCCCTGTACAGGCTCATAAAACCAGGCTCACATTTAGGATGCATGGTCATGTTCACCGAATGGGTAGGTCATCATGATTGTGCAGCACATGTGTGATGCAAAACGCCAATCAAAACTATTGTTTGACATTAACATAGCATCCACACATTCAGGATAGGAATGGTAAAATCGACAGTGTATAAGTTCTCACCGCACATGAACCCCTCATCTTTGTTTTGGACACAGCCTGGATGGTAAGCCTTGAGGCAGTTCCTGGAAAGGACAAGGACGCAAAATTAGCAGGCAAAGCTGTTGGTAACCGATTGGACTGAAAAATAAAATGAACCAGGAGACGTTTTCCCCAAGGGACTAGGTGGATTCACACGCAGAATCGCTGCACCAACATCTACCCAGCTGCATTCCGCACAGCCATCCAAATACGCCGGAACAAGCCAGCAGCACGAAATTACGCAACTGATTAAAGAGCAATCGCGATGAATTCCAGTCTTTTTTTCGCACCAAAAGAGCCAACCGCACAGAAACCCCCCAAAAAAAACCCGCATGTTCAACATCAGTACAACTATCGGGGCGGCCGAGCCAACCGATCGACACAAAAAACCCCCAAAAAAACCCGGCATGTTCACCATCAATACAGCTATCGGGGCGGCGGAATCACACGTATATAGGACGACAAAGGTTTACCTAGAGTCACATACGCGGAGGTCGTGCCCGATGTCCTTGAAAATGAAGCAGCATTCCTCGGCTATCTTGTCCTTTTCCTGCCTCTGCCTCTTCCCGCTCATCATTTCGTCCCCTGGACGCGCGAACGGAGCGGCACGGACTTAAACCCCCAAAACCCTCCGCAAAACCCCGGGGTCACCCTCGCCTCCGCAACCCTTGCCCTGGTGACGGCGGTCGGGGGAAATGGCGGCGGCGGAGGGCGGGCGGTTTGGGTGAGCGAGGGTTTGGTGGGTCCGAATTCGGGAGAGCAGAGGAGCGGGCGACTATGTGGCCATGTGGGTGCGACTGAAACCAGCCGGTGCCGTGGGGGGAAGAAATGCTAAGGCTCGAGTCGCGCGGGCCGCCGGAGCGCCGAGCACGCCATCGGGCGGTCGGGGGTCTACCGGCGCGCGCCGCGCGTGACGCTTGGCTCTTTGGCTCCTTGTTGGTTGGCTCGCTTCTTTTCTCGCCCTCTTCCTCTGCCGGTCCGTCTCGTGGAAGGGGAAGCAGTGCTGACGAGTGCTGACGTTCTGAAGAATCCAGAATTGCACAGTGTTTCAGCCTTCTTGAACTAAACAGGTCTGCAAACTTTGGACCGGCCAAATTCGACCGATATTGTGTGGACGACCGCCCCCATCCTCTGTCGCTCATCCACACTCCTCAGCTCATCCACACTCCTCAAACTCTAAGCCTAGCGCTCCCTCTCCCGCAGCGCCGCTCTCCCTCTCCCCCGCCGCTCCTCTCGCTGCCTCCGCTAGAATCCACCGTTCCACCGCCAGATCCACCCCATTGTCGATCGGATCCACCACGTCCGGCACCGGATCGACCGTGCTTGACCCCGTCGTCGGGGATGGACGGCTTCAACGGCGAAGGGAATAGCTCGGAGTTCAACGTCGGCGCATCCGGCAACGGCTCCGAGTTCAACGTCGCTGGATACGACAACGTCTCTGACTACTACGACGCCCGCTGCACAAGGAACCTCTTCTCCCTGGCGCCGCCGGGCTCCGGATCCGGTGCCTACAACTCATACACCTCCGTGCCGCATCCGCTCTCGTCGTCGACCATCCCATCCCCAGGCCAGCTGCGTATGTCTGGGCTCAACGTCAACGCAAGCGAAGGTTGGCCACACATCGACGCCTACGAAGGCATCCTTCGCTCCGGCGACCAAGCGGGCGGAATCGGCAGTAGCCGGGGCCCCCCTCCCGTCCGCGTGCCTGCCAGCAGCGGTGAGGTGCACACGGCTCCCGTGCATCGTCAGCGCTGACCTGCATCTAGGTCACGCGGTGCCCGTCGTCGCGGCGTGGGTCATGCAATGGCCGGCGACAACAACCCTCCCGTCTCGGTACATCTCGCTTCCCATTTGCACATCTCGAATCGAAGTTCTGCCTCTGTGTTTACATTATTCCCTGCCGTGTTCCATGCCTCGATTTGTAATGCTTAGTTTCATACGAGGTATTGTTCATGCATTGCTTGTCCATTAAAATGTCCACAGAATTAGATAACCAGGGCAAAGTGGAACAAAGATGATACTAAGAAGTTTTGTGAGATTTACTGCACCCAAATTGATTTGGGTAACTGCAAGAATAGCAACATGACCAAATGGGAGTGGAAAGATGTCCAGGACAGGTTTCGAGCTGTGACTGGTAAGCTTCATGACAGTGAGCAGTTCGGCCATAAGTACAGACAGTTGAAACAGCTTTGGCTTTTCATCGAGGACCTTCGGCACAAGGCCACAGGCTTGGGTAGAAGAGAAGATGGCTCTGTGGTTGCTTCTGACAAGTGGTGGGAAGACCATTGCAAGGTTCATGAGCTTTGTACTCATCTATTGTTGCTCTGTGGTTCCCATCTATTGTTGATTCTGATAGTACGTGGGTTGGTGTTTGCACTGTAGGGGAAGCAAGACTGGCTGGAACTCAAAGATGGATGGCCAGAATACATTGATGAACTGGACCGCATGTTCGTCGGAGTTGCCGTGAACGGAGAAACCTCATTTGTTCCTGGGGTGAGCCGCCACCTTCTCTACGTTAGCAGCGGCGAAGAAGAAGAAGATCATGACCAGGTCACCCCTCTGAGCTGTGCGACCCCAGTCAGCTCTGGAAGCAAGAGGAGCAGTAGCACTCGCAGCAGTGCATCATCTCCCAGCAAGAAGTCTAAGAGCGCAGCTGTTCGGTCCATGGATGCCAACATGAGCAGATTCAACTCCAGTTATGAGATCCGGACCGCAATGATGCAAAACTGCTGGAAGGAGAGGCAGCAGCATGTTGCAGCTCTTGATGAGGAGAAGAACATCAAGAAACAAGAACAGAAATTGGTTGCGGCTGCAGCAAGAGAGGTTGGGGCGCACAAGATACAAGGGCTGTGGGTTGGTGTGATCAATATCTGCAAAGATGACGATGCCAGGAATGTCTTCCTGGAAACACCTGTGGAAGCAAGGCTTGAAGTCATTAAGCACTATGCTGGGGTCGGAAACTAGAACCATCTATCCATGCATTTCACCTATATGTGACTGTAGTTGGCATGATGAACTATGTCTTTTGTGTGTGCAGATCATTAGTTCTATATGAACTATGTCTTTTATGTGCGAGGTTGTGATGATGAACAATGTCATTAAGCCCTTAATTTGCAGCATGGTTGTTAAACTAAGTTCTCAAGCTCATTTTTGTTTTTATATTGATTGCCTGTGTGAGGTCATGGTATCTTTGAATTGAGGTAGCCTTGCATGAGTATAGTGGGTAGCAGCCATTTTTTTACTGACTGTCTGTGTGTTCTATTGCAATGGCCAGGAAGTTGTTGATCAAGTTGATGCTCAAGTGGATGATGATGACGCCTGGTGGGAGGAGTTTTGGAAAATGCTGCTAGAAGATGATGATGAAGCAACATTTATCTATGGTACGTATGACTACGCTATACATCTGGACAAGTATTGCAATAGAGCTGCATATAGGAAGCCAACATGTACTGGTGAGGAATGGGTACAAAACAAGCTTGCCAATGAAACTGCCTGCTACAACATGTTTAGAATGAGTCCCCAAATGTTTTATAGTCTGCATAGTTTGTTAACTACAAACTATGGCCTCACATCCTCAACCAAGTGTACCTCTATTGAGGCTCTAGCAATGTTCCTTTGATACTTGGGGCTCCACAATCAGTTAGGCAAGCAGAGGACAGATTTGAGAGATCACTAGGCACTGTGCACAACCTTTTTTACAAAGTCCTCAGCAGTGTGTTAGACCTATCTGCAGACATCATTAAACCTAGGGACCCAGATTTTACAACAATGCATCCTAGGGTCCAGAATGTTAGGTTCTATCCTGAATTCAAGGGTTGCATAGAGGTAATAGATGGCACTCACATTCCTGTGGTCGTGCCAAGTGATAAGTTTATGCAGCACATGTGTCGAAAGGGCAAGACATCCTAGAATGTCATGGCTGTTTGTGACTTTGACATGGTCTTTACTTTTGTCCTTGCTGGCTGGCCTGGATCAGTGCATTACATGAGAGTGTTAGATGATGCACTCACAAAGTACAGAGATTTCTTCCCTAAGGCGCCTAGAGGTACACATGTTGCTGCTAGTTCAATATTGTTTTCTAATTGAAGCTTGTTAAACTTACAGGTACTTACTGCTGCAGAGAAGTACTACCTGGTGGACTCAGGGTATGCAAACCGCCCCGGGTTTCTGTCTCCTTACCGGCAGACCAAGTATCACATCCAAGACTTTCAAAATGCCCCCGAACCACAAGGTATTTAGGAGATATTCAATTATGTGCATTCATCTCTTAGAAATGTCATCGAAAGGGCGTTTGGAGTGTTGAAGATGAAGTGGCGCATATTGTTTAACATCCCATCGTATCCACCTGAGACACAGACACATATAATAGTTGCATGCATGGCGTTGCACAACTTCATCAGGATCAATGATGACTTTGATGGTGACTTTGGTATGCTAGACAGCAATGTAAACTATGCGCCTGTTGAAGCATATGTGGATCAGCCTGAGACAGAGCCTGCTCCATGTAACACCTCGGGTGTTAGCCTTGCACAATTTGACTTGCATAACATGAGCATGAGCATCAAGCATTCATATATGAGCATTTACACTTGAAACATTTGATTGAAACATATGCAACATTTCTTATCATTTCATGTTTCCTTGTATATATATGCAAATGATCATGAGTGGATACATGTAAATGATTGGGTGACCTTGCAATTAGCCTAAACTTGTTTAGAGTATCATTATGAACAACTTTGGTATTCATGGCTAGGGCTAAATAGATCACTAAGTCATAGTTCATGAACAAGTCTTCATTTAAATGTAACATGTTTGACCAAGTTTGAATCATATGCTAGAGACTATGCATGTATGTGATCACTAAAACAAAGTTGTAGTATTTGTAATAGGGAACAACTGTTATGTTTGGATCATGAGGTAATAAGGTGCATAGGTTAGTCTTTTGGAGCTCACAAATATCATCAAATAACTGTTTTCAACACTTTGCAAAATCTTCTAAGTCCTTTTTAAATGACAGTTGATAGGCTCAACTTTGGACTGATTTTTCTCCCTAGCTGTTGCAAATTAGAAGAAGGTTTCTTAAGAGATTTTGTAGAGGGTACTACGGGCTACAATTGTTGTTAAAGTTGTTTGCGCTATTAAGCTTCAGATTAGGTTTTTGCTCGGCTCCAAATCGCGTTGTCAGGCTGACATCGGGATGCTGATGTCTGAACTCGCCGTTCGTCAGTGGCCGACCGCGCTAGAGCTTGGCCGCCGCGTGGAGCCGATGGAGGCCGCGCGTCACCATCGCTCTGATCAGCCCAGCCACGTCGAGCCGCAGCGCCCTACATAGCGCCCCGAAGTCGCCTGCTCCGTCCCCGTGCTTTCATTTCACTTTCTGTTGCCTCCTTTGCTCACCCGTAGCCGCCACCGTAGCTTAGGCGCGCCGCCGACGCCATTGCCGGCGCCAGATCGCCCTCGTCGCCCCTCTATCACCACAGAAGCCACGTAGTGCCCCCTCAGTCCCACCGCGCCTGCATTGCTAGCTGAAGAAGCACGGTAAGCTCCCGTGCCACGTGCGGTCCTCGCCGGAGC